ATATTATTCTGTTTGTGGGTTGAAAAAGGCACTTATGCTCAAATTATCACTCCATAGGTGTTGGTGTTGCTGTTGTAGGTGAGTTCTTATATGCCATTGGTGGATTTGATGACTCTTCTCCTTTGGATTCAGTTGAGAAGTACGACCCTCGTACCAACCAGTGGACGTACGTCGCCAAAATGACAACATGCAGGGGAGGGGTGGGAGCTGGTGCGATGGGGGGACGTCTGTGGGCAGTTGGAGGCCATAATGGTGAACAATATTTGAACTCAGTAGAGTCATACAACCCTTTGGCTGATATCTGGGAGGAAGGTGCACCAATGCATGTGTTTCGCGCAGGTTCTGGGGTTGTAGGAAGCTTTTGTGATGTTGAAGTGTTACACAATTCACGTGATGCAATCAATCACAGGTTAAAAATAGAAGTTTAGGTACCGGGTTGTTGGTTTTGAAGAGGCCATAGCTTGAATGTTACAGGAAATATAATCAGGGCTCAATACTAACTTTTCAACTTACTAGCCAAGTGGCAAGTGACAACTTAAATGTTACAACAATTTCAGTTTGTTTACTAGCCAAACTGGCTTGTGGAAATCAAAAACCAAACGTGAATTTTTTCTAGTCTAGTTGGCTACTGTTAGTGCAGAGCCCTGATAATGACCAAAATTATTGAAATTTTATTTAAACATTCAGTTAGATGTAATTCATTCTATCTGAAGTGACTGTAGACAGAAATTTTTTGGTTTTGTTTTGTTTTTGTTTTATTTTGTTTGCTGTGATTTAAAAAGGTAGAGATAATGACAACAGGCAAATTTTCTTGTTGGAGTCAAAATCTTAGAAAACAATTTTATTTATTTTGAGATTATTTTTGAGACAAAAGTTTGTTATGTTATGTTATATAACACATGGCAATGACTTTATTTTCACAAAACTCATCGTGATTTTTTTTGTTTTATAATTTAGAGCATGAAACATTTATCAAAATAGAATTTTCTTGAAACAGAATGGAACATTCTATGTACCAAAAGAGAGTATGGGGCAGAATTTCAATGTATATTGTAAATAGCGATATAATTTGTTGGAAAAAGAGCTGGTACATGGAACAAAAAACACTAATTAATTTTTTATATCCACTTTACACTAGAATATGAGGTGATGTATAATATTGCGGTTGTGTTGATAACATTGTGATTAGTCATAAACAGCATCAATTTTTTGTTGGCAACAAGCTTAATATTTGTTTAATGGCTGTTGATTATAGAGTGAAAAAAAAAAACACAGTCAACATCAGTCTATCTGTAAATTCAATTAGCTAATATGTAAATTGTTGACCCTAATGCTGTAATGTAGGTCTGGTAAGTTCATTCTACAGTAAAAAACAAGCTCTCCATAACAAAACTACCTTGGTGCTGTTTTTAAGAATTATGTTTGTATGCAGTGTGTGCACACTCTTGACTGACCAAGTGTTAAGTCACTGTTTTTAATTTATTTTATTCCTTAGGAATTCGTTTTTCTTTTCACTCCAAAGTAGCCAGATGTTAGCAGAGAGTTTTTCAGACCACAGTGTCCTCATAACTTTATGTTGTTTAGTTTGGTATATTCTTTCACTGAAAGGGGAATTTTATTTTATTTGTTCTTTTAAGATTGCTTGGCTAAGTCATAGTTACCAAAAACCTTTTTTAACAGGTGTTGGCAGAATATACCAGAAAATAGTGGTTTTTGTGTGATTTTCCCCACTGATAATAAAAATTATGAGTAAGTGAAAGTCAAAAAGTAAATGCAAGTCACAGTAGTTTTATGGTTAAGAAGACATAGCCTGAAATGAGTCAGGTTAAATATTAGATTTAGTTTTCTACTTCACCATACAGTGTATGCCATTTACATTGTAACTTGTCTGGTTTGCATTAAAAAGAAAACTCATGTTTTTGTGAGTTTTCCTGTTTTGTCTCCAAGGTTTACCAGGTTGCTTCTGGCAATATTTCATGTAACAATTGAATCACTTTTCACTGTGGTTTCGTGTTTCATTAAAATGTATGTTGGATATCGAAATTAAACACTTCACTTGTTGCTATGAGCATCCTGATCGGTTGTTTGCAATAAGAGAGACTAAAGGCTTGGCTTAGTTCAATTTTTTTTTTCTAAAGAACAAGGATTTGTGTCTCAAACCATCCACATTAGATCTAAATTCCAATTCCAAGGCCTTTATTCAAGAGAATTGGAATTTTGTTGGATGCAAATGATTTGAGGTGCATGTAAGTAGTTACATCAGCAGTTGTCCATGTTAGCTGATAAATCTTCAAAAAGATAAGAGCATAAGCGGAAGTTTTCTTCAGAATACTGCAGATGAGATAGCATTTCTTGACATGCCCTAACACAGTTTGTCCAGGGTGCGTTTCGCTTTAGTTCCTCTAAAGGCCTTGGAGAGCTCTGGTAGCAAAATGAGAGGTCCTGGGAACGAAATCAAATCACGATACTGGCGCTCGAAAGAGACTGGCAACATTACGCAAATAAAATGGCGACCACCAACAGAATTTTACCCCTACTACCATCGCATTCTAGAACTTTCCTCAACATATCGGTGCGTTTCACTTAATTTCAGGTTAAGTAAATTAGTAGATAGGAATATTTTTACTCTCTGTATGCTCTTAATTGAATATTCTTGATTTTCACACGCTTCGCAGCTAGGGGTCTATGTTTCATCATGTAGTTGTTTGCTGTTAAGAAGATCCTTTAGTTCTCTGCCTGCAGACAAGAAATCCCTCATAGCAGAGGGACCAAGTCTGGGAGAGTTTATATCGGGAGAAGTTATTCCACAGGAGAATCCTTACAGGAGAAAGAAAGGACAGCGGTATGATATTATTTTATCAAGAGAAGATACGGAGCAACTTTAAACTTTAGCAGTTAGAGCACCGCTGCAGGGCTATTTCGGAAGCAGTGTTATGTCCCAGCAGTAATCAGATGTTCCTAGTTAAACTTGCATTGGACTCTTAAGTGACAGACGGACGTCAAGCACTATCAAAACGTTACTCTGAAAGAAATTTCCCTAAATTATGTAGATAAAGCTTCATCGCGACTCGACTGTCATTGTAATTGTACAAAATGTATAATCTGCAAAGCTAGTGAAACTAGTCTGTGTTTGCAGGCTCTGTGGAGCAACATATGTCGGGAGGCTTTTGAAGAACGAGGTATAATACAATAGACACTATTCTTATTCAATGACATGTAAATGATGTGGCCGGGTATTCTGAAGTTGACTGAAAAGTTCAATGATGAAATAATTCTGGCCCAGGGCCGGGTTGTTGAAAAGTAGGTTAAGATATACCCAGGGTTAGTGTGAAATTAGATTTCAGATCTGAAAGCTTTAAAAGAAAATTCATCTAGATTCCATTTGTCTACAATTTGATGATTAAATGCCCTAAAATAAATTGGGAAAATTATCCCAAAACGGCTTTTTATCAGAGAAATATAGAAACCCCGATTAAGATTGAACCCTGGGTTAGTGCTAATCCGCATTCGAACAACTGGGCCCAGACCACTAGCTGGTCATTGAAATAAGAATCCTGTTTTCTTTCTAGACTACGTCTACCACCATGGCTAAAAAGGGAGATACCCACTGGTAAAAATTATCATAAACTCAAAGAAACACTTAGAGAGTTGAACCTATCTACCGTGAGTCTATACAATTTAAATATCTTTATTTAACAAAATTGTCAATTCTTTATTTAGTTTTATCAATCAATAGATGTGACTTTCAACATGATGTTTGAAACCAAAGTTTCTTTGCAAAGGGTTACTAAGTTTTGAAAGAATGTAATAGCTGATTGAGTTCTGTAAGCCTTACCGAAAAAAGGGCAGGGTTAATTTTTCAAGAAGAAAAGTTGTGACAAAGTAATTTAAAATTTTTAACCTTGTCATCATACAAGACTCTAACAGTAAATAATTTTTATCCTTCATTGCCACAAGATTTATTTTTGTAGATCCAAATGCTTTCTACTGTATATTTATTATAGTATAACTATTGTAATTTTAGTATGCTCAAAGGCTGTAGCCTTTGCTTAAAATATGTTTCATCATATTATTTGTTAAGTTGATCTGTCTAAAGTAGTTTGTTGTTTTGCATTGTAGGTGTGTGAAGAAGCTAAATGTCCAAATATTGGTGAATGCTGGGGTGGAGGAGAAAGTGAAACAGCTACGGCAACTATCATGGTACTCACTAGTGTAAATATAGAATTAAGGTAAAGTAAGTCTTGTGTAAATGTTAAGATACAGCAGTTAATTATACGTGACAGTGGCCAACTCGAAAGCTATGCTACTTTGGTCACTGTGCACATTTTACTTTTGATTATTGATGTAATTAACTGATTTTTTATATATTCTGACTCTTATAATCTGTATTAACCTCTTGAAATAGTGCYAATAAAGAGTTTCCTTTCCTTTCNTGTCAAGGCAAGTTCATCTCAAAGTGTACTGACTTACTTTGTAGAAATCCAGGCATACTTGTAGAATGCTTGACAGGAGATTTCCGAGGTGATCTTAAAGGTGTGGAGGATGTGGTAAAATCAGGACTGGATGTTTATGCTCACAATGTGGAGACAGTGAACAGACTACAGTTGTGAGTTTCAGTTATTAGGGACCTTAAGAAACCACGACGGCGACGGCAACGAGGAAATGGAAAAACAAGAGATCTAATTGGCAGAACAATAGCTCAGCACGTGCGTTTTGAAACTTTGTACATTTCGTAGCCGTCCTATGCAAAACAACAAACTGAAATCGCCAAACTTTGCGTCGTCTGCAAACCGAAACCGCGACGGCAAATTATTTTAATTTCCATTTGGAACTCAACGGCTACTTTATACGTCATGCTGAAGTTGAGCTGTGGCGCTGTATGAGACAGTAAGCTCCTGTAGCCATTTTTTAAATTCTAACTAAGAGTAGAAATTCGTTTTTTAATCGAAGTCTTCCTTGGCGTCGCCGTCGTGGTTTCTTAAAGTCCCTATTTTAATTAAAACTGACGCATCCATTTGGTCTGGTATTTTGGTCATCCAGCCCAAAATGTTTTTGAAAAGGATTGTTGCCTGTAACAGACTTACATCTAAACAAGCTCTTTGGTTTGACTGTAAACAAGGAACGAGGATCTGTCTGGTAACATTTTCTTTTTTATCTATGCACCAACACAGAATGACCTACCTGATCATTTGAGAGTTGCAGTGGACCTGCCTTTCTTTAACTTTTTTACTAACGTTAAAGTAGACTTGTCGATTATTTTTAGTTTTTGTTCAAATTGACATGCTTTACCTCAGAAATTCAGGATAACATACACTACATTGAGCTTATTATTATTATTATTATTATTATTATTATTTTTAACTATCACTATTATTATTATTATTGTTGTTGTTGTTATTATTATTTTTAAAACAGATTGCTCCTTTGTGGAGAACTCTATGGAGTGCTGTTACTAATGGAAAAATTTTCTGTTGTCCTACAGGCTTGTGCGTGACCCAAGAGCAAACTACAAACAGTCCCTTGAAGTACTACGACATGTGAAGAGACTTGAGCCCAGCATGGTGACTAAAAGTTCATTGATGCTTGGCCTGGGTGAAAGTGATGAAGAAGTCCAACAAGCCTTAAAAGGTGCAAACTAAACAAGCTTAGCTAATATGTGGCTAGTTACAGTTAAATTGTAACCAGTTATTTGTTACTTCATCTCTCTGCGCACGAGGCAACCCACCATTCATTAAGGAAAACAGATTGCTTTTTTGAAATTTTGCTTAAACAGTCATGTATGCACCCCTTGTTCATCTTGAATTACTAACACAACTTGCAATAATAAGATTCTTTTTGAAAGATGATGACCACATCTGACCCATCTTCGTTCAAAGAATAAGATAGAGCATGATGTAACTTAAGTTACTTCTGATTCATCAGATCTCCGTGATGCTAATGTCGATTGCGTGACATTAGGACAGTACATGCAACCGACAAGGCTTCATCTAAAGGTAACGGCATCGTTACAAGTTTACACTGTCTTACTTAATGGTGTTCGGCTTCATAACAAGGTATCTTTGCATCGAAAAGGCATACAGCAATGTCGCCAAAGGTTAAATAGAAATGCTATTGATTTTCCTTGTTTTTGGTAGGTCACGGAGTATATCACTCCAGAGAAGTTCAAGCACTGGGAGTTGGTCGGTGATGAACTGGGCTTTGCATACACTGCTAGTGGACCGCTTGTAAGATCTTCATACAAAGCAGGTAAAGTACAAATAAACAGACACAGAGGCCAAATCTGTAACATAAGTTTGACTCAATGGACAGAGATAGAAAATTGGGCAACAAGAAGTAAACTTTAAAAACCACAAACTAACAAACAAAATAGAAAAATTGATCTCAGTGTAAAAAACGGTAGATGGGCTGCATATTCCTTAAATGTAATCCTCGAGAGAAGCATAAAAAAGAGACATTTGGTCCAAAGCATGATGAAATCAGTATTTGGCTTATCTTATCACAAACAGGAGAATTCTTCCTGACGAACTTGCTGAAAACTCGAAAACGCAACACAGATTGCCAACACCAAACAGAAGGGAAAACCAGCTAGTGGGGGGTGACGCGCCTTCTGTCCAGCGTGTTTACCAAGCTATGCTCTGCCAAAGTCCAAAGAAGGTTCGAGTCATGTCATTCAGGGACACACACAGATACGCAGAAGTCAATTTACGTTCAGTTCAGGAAATGAAGATTGTGGTTGTAGTAGCATGAACATTTAATATGAGAATTACGGAGTGGCCCGTTTAAACTTTACGTGAAATCATTGTCCGGTAGAGATGTCAAAGGTTAACTCTTGGGAGAAGATAAATTTTACAAGATGAAAGGCCATCGTTTATGGTGTAAATATATTTTTTAGAGGGAAGAAGGCTCCCGAGTGAAATTAATGGGTGTCGTCGCCTTGAGTGTGTATTGGGTGTGTATTGTGAGTATCGTTTCCGCCCAAACTGCTCGACTTATTCCCATGTCGAACTACAATACAACACAATACAAACTTTATTGAAATTCCAAAAAATGGCTTTTCAATGCCAATTTACTAGAACTGTAATATTCACAAATATATCAAAAAAATTATCATCTTTCAATCAACTTCAACTTTCAATTTTATCATTCATAAATTTCTATATCAATGTAGACTTGAGCTTCTTTTCAAAAGTAGTAATATTTTCAATAGATTTTCAAGAAGTGTCGAAAGAGTTCCAAATCTTAGTTGCTCCGTATAAAAATATGGGTTTGCCACTTGGCGTTTGATATTTATCAATGTGAAGATCTTCTTTATTCCTTGTTGCGTAATTGTGTTATCCTTTCTTTTATTGGACTTTGAGCATAGGTAGGCCGAAAAAATCGTTTTTTCTTTTATTGGACTAGAATAAAGTTAGACATTTTACCTAACGTTTTCAAAAATAGAAATTTAAAAACCTCAAAAAGCGTCCGAATTATTTAGGAAAACGTATTTTCAACTAAAAGTTAATAAATCTGGAGGGTGTCTTGATCTCGTAAATGGGCAACCCCCTGGGGGAATATTCGCGTCACTTTCATGATATTTGCATATTTTGTGGAAGTACTCTGCTGGAGGAAAGTCTTTTCTCATGGATAAAAAACATAAATCAAAATTAGAGAGGAGTCCTAAGGCAAAGAAAAAGAAAAAAATAGGCCCAAAGAAGAGAGAAATGGCATCATTTTGTCAGGAAAAAACAGTCCTAACCCTCCTCTCCACGCTGGCATCCAAATTGCGAACAAAGAGAGCGCCATGAAATCTACGTTTGTCGTACATGAGGTTAAAAACGAAGTTTCCTTTCAATAAGCAACTACCTGCCTTGATACAAAAACAGGCAATCGCCTCGAATCGTATGAAATCATGAGTAAACCTTCCCTTGGGTTGTCTGTTGATTCGCTCTATTGCTTTTCAGCAGTTTCTTCAGCTTTACCTTTTTTGCCGCGGGTTTTTACTGCTAACTTTGCCCATTACTTATCGTTCAACAGAGCGAGATTTAAAAAAATGTGACTGCTATGCGATACTCTTCCCGGGAAAATCTTAATCCATTGTCATTGACGCTAGGAGGTCCCGTCTTCCGATTGGTTCGCGGTTTTTAGGAGGCGAGATAATCTCCTGCTGCGGCACTAGTTGTTTACAAACCTTTAGGAGCTAAAATCTCGTATTTGATTTTGAGAAGAATACATCCACTTCGAGCGAATTTATAGGGTTCGTAGATTTGACCGATTTTCGTGAAATTTCGCCCAAACATTCCAGAAATAATGACGAAAGGGTGTCAGGGAATTTTGATATTTGAAATATTTTTCAAGTAGCGTCCATTTACCCAACACGTTTCGCATATTTTACGCTGCTCCGACTTTAGATGTGGATATCTAGACAACCAATCAGAATATCAGAAAAGCCTGCCACAATCGTGTTGATTGATGCCTTGTGAATAAGACTGTGCAGCCATTTTGCTCGTGCTGCGGGCTCCGATACCCGATAAATTCAATACAAGGACCATCAGTCGTTTCACGCCTAACAGGTTCTTGACGCTCCCTAAATGAAAATAACGTCTAAATTATATTTTTATGGTAAACTGCATTTACTAAGCTTACTTCTTATGTATAATTTGTTAGGGTTTTCTGGAAACTAACGCGCGTACGAATTTTTTCCCGAATGACACCCGCGAAGGTGGGAAGTAACCTTAAGCCATTGATGCATCTAACAACAACAACAACAACAACAACAACTTTATTTTTTTTCACCCCAAGATATACAAGAAAGAAAAATTTATAATAATAGTACAGACAATGATAGGGGCGCTGGCTGCCCGAAATAACCTAAGAGTTAAAAATGCCAGGCAGCCAGCAACTATTGCATTTTTTAATTCCAGATGTTGTTTGCTGGGTAGCCACTTTAACTCACGAAGAACAGGCGTAATACGATCGAACTTACGAGTGCCAAAAATAATTTTAGTTTTGAATTAAACTTTGACATTGTGGAGGTATCGAAAATATCCACGAGTCAGAAAGTCGAAGGTGTATCTTACATGTAAAACTGCCGTAAGCTCCTTACTAGTTTCCGAATAATTTAGGGTTCCTGTTCAACACAGGGTGGACCCACTGAAGCGATGAGCGCGAACAAGTAGGGCTTTCCCATTGGGGCCTTGTACCACCAGGTGAGCTTTGCATTCATCTCTCATCAGGTTCCATCACATTTCCATTTGCAAGCCATTTCAGAAATTCGAAATTGTCGACACATTGACCTTTTCAACCCTCTTTTGCTTCAATTTTATCTCTTTTTCCCTAGCCAAGTTAAACTATTCACCCCCTTCCTCCCAAAACAAGGTTGTATGGTGATTCCATGAACTTTTAGCTACATACAGGCAACATTGGATGGGGGAGGGTGGTCGTGTCAATTATTTAGTGTGTGGTAGTAACAGGTGTTACTCTACGCATAAATAGGACTCTTTAAACATGATGTGTCAACTAATTTTGATGCTGACTTTAAATGTCGAGGAGGGTATGGGACTTACGTGAATCATACCGGTTTAGGTAGGAAGTTGAAGAGCTTAATTAGAAGAAAGATGATATCTCTACTTTAAATTATTTATTTGGTTTCATTTGTCAATGCAACGGTGTAAAATTAAGTTGCAAGTAATTTCTAAATTGCTATGCAAGCCAAGATTTGCTTTTTTGGTCGTTTACTGTTACAATTGAGCTTTTGTGCCCCTCTTTAACTCTTCTTTTATTTCGCTTGTTACTGGCTAGATTTTGCTTTGAGCTTCATCTCACTTCCCTTGAGGGGCCCGTTCCACCGATAATAGGATTTATCTTCGAAGTTGGCATTCAAATTAGAATCGTAACAACTCTTATACCACCAAGCTCCTCTATAGCTCACTGCGCAGTTATTGCCCCATTTGTCATTGTCCCGATCCTTGGTAGAGAAGGCCATACCGTTATGTTCTTTGGACAAATGATCTGACGCGTCGCCAGAATAGAAGCCAACGAACAGAGTATAATTCGTTGCTTCGTTTGTGATCGTGAAATTACTATATTTGGCGTATTTATTACCATTAGATGTGGTGTTAATTTCAACCCTAAGCTGACTCGGTATCTCAGTCAGTTCATGAATCTTTTCGTTCCCAAGCCAAAACTCTCCTCTGACGTCACCAAATCCATACTTGTACTCGTTCCAGTCCCTATAGAATCCAACGAACCCATTGAAGCGTTTGTGAAAGACTGTCCATCCCCCACCATCCGTGTTCATGTCACAGTACACTTCAAAACTGGTTTTGTTTGCTGGGTTGACTGTGTACACTCCATTTTCTTTGAAGCCAGCAGAGAAGAGCTCTGCGCAATCTCGGGCTGAATAATTAAAACAAAAAATTTCCCGCTGCTCTTATTTGAACATGACAATTGTAAAAATGATTTAATTATCAAAAGATGAATGTGAAAAAAGAACAGAAAACCATTTCATTGAAGATTATTACCACAGTCTCTACACAGCTGAAGATTCTTCAAAATGGAGGACATTTTTAAATTACTTTTCCCTAGTCTATCTTTTTCAAGAAATATGAAATGATCTCGATGGTTTTCTCGTCTTTGAGTGCATCGGTTCGTCGTCCCTCTCGATCTTACAAGAAATCTAACTAAGAAAGAAATAACAGGTAGACGACAAAAGGGGAAGACGATTTGCGTGCTCATGTGCCTTCTGAATATTTTTTTAAAGTATGCCTATCTGGCAACAAATGCTTACCCGTTTTCACAATCAGTTGCACCTCAGTCTCCACATGAACAAACTCGCTCTGTGCGGAGCAAATGTACGTTCCACCGTCCTTTGCCGTCAAACTGTTGATCTTCAGTTGTCCTCCTTCCACTTCAGACCTGGTGTGGTCTGCTGGTATGTCTCCTTTACACCGTGTCCAGGTGATGCTGGGTACTGGGTGTCCGTCTGCAGAGCAGTTGAATGTCACTGACTGTCCATGGTAGAGCTCAATCTTCTCTGGTGGCTTGACAGTAAACTGAGGCACCACATTGACAATCAGAGATGTCATGAAGTGTGATGTTCCCATGGCGTTCGAAGCTGTGCAAATGTAGGTTCCTGAATCTTTCTTGTCTGCATTTGATATGGTCAGAATGTTGCCTTGTACAGTGGCTCTACCACGAGGAAGTTGGTCGAAAAGTTTAGTCCAAGATACCACTGGAGGGGGATATCCTATGACCTGGCACTGAGGGAGTTTGACATCCTTCCCGCTCTCGGCGTATATCGGACCAGCAGGAAGGGAGATAAGTGGGCGAGCTGTGACAAACAAAGTTATATAAAATAAGATTTATGAAGTTAAAACAAGTAAATAGAAATCAAATATAATGTGTCATAATGAATATTGCTGAAAGTAACCACCTAAAATTTTCGTGGTTCCACTGCTTCAAGCCATACTTCAACGTGTAAGTTGGGAGAACATTGCAAAATCGACGACTACTATGCACAATTTTTTTCCTATTACTCTTCCTCAGTTGGTGATGTAGAATTGATATTATTGATAAAAAATCCTGATAAAACTATTTCCTCAAAAATTCACTTTAATGTACTTTTTCTTTTTTCGCATCTGACGTAAAATGAACTCGGTAAGCGTTGATTTATGTCAGGTAAAGCTTCTAATATCGATATCTATGAGGTTACAATATCTCGTGACCTCATAGATTTTCAGGCCACCGTATTGCTCGTTTTTAAACTCTTTGAATAAACGCAATAATTTGAATAATCACTTCAAATTATTGGACCAGATTGAATGCTAGCACTCCAAACTAAACAATGTTGCACAAGGATACACTTCCATCTAATTGGCATTTAACAATTATGCACATTTTATCAACTTACCTTTGACGTTTAGTGTAACAGAAGCCTGAGCGGTCCCCTGGTCTGTACGAATTGTACACACGTACATCCCATTGTCACCCACTGTAGCGTTCTTGATGTGTAGGGATCCTTTGATGATAGAATATCTTCCATTTGGAAGAGAGCCATCTTCCTTAGACCACGAAACTGTCACATCCATGTGGTTTTCGGACAAACACTGGAATACAGCCGACTGTCCCTATGCAATAGTCCTGACAGCTGGTGTCATCACAATCTCAAGGGCGGAAATAACATCCGCTGCCTGTCCCCTGAATGGTTGCAAGGAGGTCGGAGTCAGGGAGGTGTACTCTCCGGGCTCCCCCTTTTGTCCCTTCATCCCAGGGGGTCCGAGGAGCCCCGGATATCCAGGGGGACCATGAGGCCCTCGTGGTCCAACCTTTCCAGGGGGTCCTTGTACACAAATCTGACTTCTACTGGTACAGATCTTTTGTGTTGCAGAGTGAACGGATCTGTCGATTTGTTGTTGTATATCTGAAGTTAAAACGTCATTATCTCCTTTTGGAGGAGTCTCGGCAGCTCTTGGGTTTCTTTCTATTGTTGAGGAGCTGAGAGAAAGAACATGTGGCGAACGAAGATCTGTGGAAGCAATGTAATTTACTTGACGCAAAAACAACCTTTTCAGTTAACATAGAACTCAAACACAAGCGACATTTACCCAGCGACACTTCAAACAGAAGCCTTTTTTGAAAGATAAATAATCTGACGATTTAACTTGCATTTTTTACCATTTGTCGCTCTGAAAGGCACGCTTCGAACATCTTAAAGTAAAATATCTGAATAACGGTGAACTCAAGGAGTCACAATGCTCCAAGTATTCGAACATAGGAGTTATTGCGATAGTTCAAATGAAGAAAAAAAAGAAGTATATTTGATAAAATATAGGTGGAAGTGTTACTAAAAGCTCAAAAAGTTTTCTGAGCGCAATGTTTCTGTTTTGAGATCTGGATCAAGTTGCTCGTTTGACACCTATGCAGTTACTCACCCTTTGTTGCATTCTTCCGAACTTGTTCCCTGAGATATTTCCCTTTTAGCTCAAGAGTCTCGAGTCTTTCACTGTATGCTTCTAGCTGCAACTCGAGCCTCACAAAACCAACACAATACAACAAAGCGCTAATAAACGACACAAAACAGCAAACCACGAGAAGACGGGAGGATCCTCCAACGCTCGACATTGTGAGTTAGATAACTGCTGGTCACAACTGATTTGAATAGGACACATCGCCTTACTTGTTTGCAGCCAAGATAACCTCTAAGAGCTACAGTCTTGATCTTCTGATACATCTGATTGATTGTCCTGGCAATAATTCAAAATCAGTTACATATCTTTCTAGCCCGGATAAATCAGTGATAAATTTTGGCCCGTATGACCTATTGCTCCAGTTAGTCTGAATTTCTCCTGAACCTGTTTCTCATGAGACTACACTGTACTTGACCCGCTAGCAAATAATGTACGAGTTTCACCTACGGTGGAACTTTTAAAATAGTTAAAACCTATCTGAGCTAATTCTGGCCGATTTATATGGTCAGATGTCTTTCGTGCAAGCTACTCACGTGATGCTTTATCATTTTAACACTAATTACAAAGTGTCGGTGCAAGGTGAAAGTTGACTCCTAGGGAATGAATCAAGACTAACGCATTTGATGGATGCAGCACGCACCATTTATACTTCGTCTTTTGGCTTTTATTATTTATTTTATTGTTTTCCAGGGGTAGTGCTCAACTGAACGCGTTGCTTGCGTGTCAGCTTTCGGCGCAAATTAAACCGCGTCGTGAGACTGTGGCTACAAAACAGATGACCAACACTTTCAGTATTGATTCGTTGTCTCAGATAGGCTCGATGGCTTTGCAACATGAAAGAAGCCCGCTTCAGATCGGGATATTTCGTTCCTCAAGAGCTGATAGTTCGATTAAATAAGGTGAGCGTTTTATTTATAGACAGGATAGACAATCTCCCCGTTTAACTGAAGTCAGAGCTAACATAGTTATCGACGCTGAAATTCCTATCGCCCTTTTTTTTAACTATACTATTAGGTTCACAACAAGAAAGCTGTAATGTGTGATGTATGATAAGAAAAATTGTTACAAAAACTTGAACCGGATCAGAAATAACAAAAAATTACGGCCTTCAATGCTGCTGCCATGTTTATAAGAGGGTCTCAAAGGGGTTAACCGTTAGCCGTAAAACGACACGTTAGCCGTAAAAATGAAAGAATTTTAACCGTTAGCTGTAACAAAATTTTAACCGTAAAAAATCTAACCACAAAATAAGGTCTCAAGATCTTTTATTGAGTCTGATGTGTTATGCGTTTATGTGTTCTGGCAGCGAGAATTACAATCGAAAGTCGGAAGTGCATGTCGAAAGTGTCTGCATAATTTGTCGCATGGATTTCGTTGTGCGAGTTGACAGACGTTTTGACAGCTCTATTATTTTACGACTTTCTACTTTCTTTCATGCTGACTGGTTGCGATGGCTGTAGTGAAAGCGATAGTAAGTCTCTATAGAAGACTTACTATCGCTAAGACCAGGCTTAAAGTCGCGGAAGAGATTAAATTATTTTCGTCGTTCCAAAACAATATTATCGAGTTTCTTGGGCTCAACGAGCAAGCTAAAAAGTTCGGCTAGGGGTCATTTGACTCCACAGATGCGTAAAATGGTAAGCCAGGCCATACAAACCTGTTAATTAAAGCCTTATGATTCATATAGAATTGTTGCCATTTACAAACAAACACGTACAATTAAATATACTTGTGACACAGGTTACATGTACATGGATCTGTTGTTCCTAGTTTATTTTTCCTTTAAGTAATTAAAACTCTATCTTATTTTGGTATTCGTTATGTTTTTCTAATGCAGTGAAAGCATAAAAGTTCTATAGTTCACTTAGAATGTACACACACAAGAATACTTTTTCATCTCAAATTTGCCTGAAGACTTTCAGTATGTCTTAGAACAATGG